CCATTATCAGAGTGACTATCTGTCACCAGCTGCTTTATCAGCTGGATAGCACATGTCTTTAAAGAGCCAGTGAACTGACTCTTTATTCTCTCGAGGTACTCGGTGACCGTGTCACACACTGGGATTAAGCCCACAATTACAGGTTCAATCATGTTCTTTATCACAGCTAAACATTTCTTGTTGGCAGTGACCCACTTTCTATGCTCAAAAGTCATAGAACATCTTTTTAGATTTAAAATCCCTTTCTTTAGTTGTCCAAGCGGCATCATTCTCTTTTGTCTTCCTCACCGGTGCCATAGAATCAGTGGGACACGGTGAGGTGACTACCCAGTTCACCTTAAACAAGATGAAAACCAGGTCAAATATTTTCTTAACATAAAATTAACACCATTTGCATGCCTTGATTACAACGTTGGTCAAAATCAAAACATACAACTATTCTTATACACTAATTCTACATCACCGTTGGGCAGAAATAGAATTAATGCATAAATCTTTAACTTTCGCAACTGTTCTTACACACTAATGCTACATCATCGTTGGGCAGAAGTAGAATTAATGCATAAATCATTAAAATTAACATATGTTCTTATGCACTAATTCTACATCACCGTTGGACAGAAATAGAATTAATGCATAAATCATTAAAATTACGATATTGTTATTAACAACGTTGGTCAGAAAATAACAACATCATAATCATATCAAAATTCTTTTTCTCCAATTAAATACCACATTGGTTCAAAATAACTGGAGAATAAAAAATTTCTTTGGCTGTGGAAAAACTCTCTTTTCCTCGAATTTTACCCATAGGGAAAATTGTATTTTCTATTTCCTTTAATCCATTAATCAATTTCCAGGAAATAAAGATTTACTGGAAAAACTTTTCTTTTCTCCAGTTAAATATCATGTCGGTTCAAAATGACTGGAGAATATACTTTTTCTTTAGCGGCGAAAAATGTATACTCAATTTCTTGAATTTTACCCACAGGAAAAATTACTTTTTCATTTTTCTTTTGAGATAATTTGCATATGCAATTTTCCAGAAAAATAAAAAAAATGAAACTGGGCTCTTGCTCTTTACTGTTTTGGCCTGAAATGGCCCACGGCCCACAGCCGCACGCGCCCTTCCCGCGCGCTCACCCGCGCCCAGGCCGCAACCTGGGCCTGGGCCGGGAAAGTGGCCTCACGCCCTCGCCCGCCTGGGCCGAAAGGCGGCCCGGTTGATCTGCGATGTTCGTTCTGCATCCGACGGCTGCGCGTTCATTTCGGGCGGTATAAAAATCGACGCCGCGCCGGTGCGCGAAACCCTAGCTCATTTCAGTGTTTGCTTTCTCTCTCTTCTTCGCTGCTCTCTCCTCTCTCTCTCTACCTTGCTCTCTGTTCTCAGCCGAGCACAACCGAGCGAGCGAAGGCGTCCATGGCACCGCCGCTGGCCCCCTCGCCGGCGTGCGCGCTCCCCAGCGGGTGAGCGCGTCGCCGTCGAGCGGCCTGGCCGTGGTGACCCCTTTGCCGAGCCTAGCTCGGTCTTCTTCTCCCGCGCCGGCGAAGGGCCGGTTCGGTTTTCTGTTTTTTTTTTATTTCTTTTCTTTTCGTTTGTTCACCCAAAAAGGGGATCTAGGGTTAGGGTTCGATTCCAGCCCCTGTTCTTCTTCCCTTCTTTTCGAGTTTAACCCGATTCGGGGTACTAGGGTTAGGGTTTCATTTTCTTTTGATTTCTTTTCCTTTTCGGAGTTCATCCGAATCTCTTCCCTTCTTCCCCTTTTCTTTCTCTGATTTGGATTGATCTCTGTTTTCCGAACCGAAGGTGGGGATTAGGGTTAGGGTTAGGGTTCGTGTGCCGACCCCTGTTCTTTTCTTTCCTTCCTTCCTTTTCTTTGATTTCTTCTCTTTTGGATTCAAGATCGAGATGGGGATACTTTCTAGGTACTGTTTCTCTTCCCCGTTGAAGGCTTTTACTTGTTTAGGGTTCGTGAAACCGTTCGGTTCTTTTCTCTTCTTCCCCGAGCTTTCTGCGCTGGTTAGGGTTAGGGTTCTTGAGATCCTTTTCCCCTTTCTTTACTTCTTCTCTGATCCAAACACGGATCTGTTCTTTCTTGCCGTGTCAGTGCGGCACTTTTCCCGCACGGTGGCGGTGGCGACCGGTAGACAGTGACTTCCGCCACCCCGGTCCCTTTTCTTTGCTTTTACCCAGTTAGGGTTAGGATTACACAGAGGCAACCCTCTCTGATACCATTGTTAGGATCTATTGTGTGTACCTTTATGTGTAACCATGGATTCGGTAAGCCTCCTCGGCTTTCTCTATTGCGACGCAGCAGTAGCGTAGACGCCGGTGCCGCGGCGTAGTAGGTGTCCAGTGTAGAGACAACTCCGACTCAGTGTAGTCCTCGCGGACGCCGGTGCTCGGCGTGGCCGGTGAGGAGACGAGGTGGCGATCCAGTGGTGTTCCCGTGGCCTACAGAGGCGACGGCGGTCGTCGGTGGGCACATCCCGTCGCTGGCAGCACTCTTTAGGATCGGATTAGGGTTTTCTTTAGGTGGGTGTGGCGGCTCCGGTCAACCTCGTTCTCCGAGCCCTCACCCCCACCTTCCTTTTATGTGTGCTGTGCGACAGGGGCCCATCAACCGGATTAGGGTTGGGCTCCCCCGATCAGGGAGCAGAGATAAGGGCCCAATAGGCCGTTGGGCCTATTGGTGGAGATCAACTAACATGGTCTAGTCTAGGTGTATATATAACGCTACCAATGGGGAAATAGTTTTTTTCTTCGTTTCCTTAATTTTCACGGTGCTCTTTTGAATATCGATAATGCTCTCTCTAGAGCGTTCGGACGTCCCGTTCTCAACGGGCATATCCAACCACACACACACAAGCTCTGCTCGCAAAGCTCCGCACGCACCGCTCGCTCCCGCCTGTGCGCCTCGCTCCACAAGCGCCGCTCACTCCTGCCAGAGCGCCTCGCTCTGCACACGCCGCTCGCTACCGCCCGCGCTGGCGCCGTCGCCTACGCAAATTTGCCCCGTGCCACCGTAGTGGATCGACTGCGTCGAGGCGTAGGGCTTTGCCACCATCTTCGTCGCTAAGCTCTTCGGTCGCGTCAGCCCAGTCCTTACTCAACGCCGTCGCCGAGCCAGCCCTGTCCTTCCTCACCGCCATCCCCGAGCCACAACGCCCAGATAGGCCTGCTGCGGCTGACTCCACCGCAGCGGGCCGCCTCCACCGCGTCGGGTGCCGCCATCTGCTGTCGCGGCCGCATCCACTGTTTCAGTTCGTCGTGCGCGCTCACGCCATGTTGCGCTGGAAAACGCGTGTTGCAAACGTATGTTCCAGAAGTTCCAGAGACATGTTGCAAGTGTTTTATACGGATGTTGCAAAAGTAGATCGAGATGTGCATATGTTACAATGGTTTATACACGTATGTTTCAAGCGTATCCCAATGTTTCATCTTCTTTTTTCAGACGTATGTTGCAAGTGTGTTACATATGTTTCACACGCGTGATGCAAATGCTTTATCTGAATGTTGCGTATGTTTGCAATGGTTTTCAAGTGTTTAAGACATGTTTTCAAGTGTTTCATCTGTCTTCTTTTGTATGTTGCAAGTATTGCATCTAGATGTTTCAAAAGTAGATCAGATGTTGCACATGGGATGCGCGCGGGAAGTAGGAGGATGCGCGAGCGGTCCCCGCGCGGGCGGCGCAGGCGACGTCCGAACAACGTAGGCCTTGTGTGGGCGCACGAAACACAGGCGCGAGCGGACGACGTCCGAGTGGCGCGGGGCTCGCATGATGCGCAAAACAAGGCGTGGAAACGCACTGCATCCATGCGCATCTGGGGGCTATAGTAGTGTCGTTTGAATATAGCGCACCAAAGACAAATTTTTGGAGGCAATGGGACATGAAATGATTTACCATAATGTAAGGCCTCAAAATTCTGTAGATTCCGAGAATGACATGCACTATTATTTATCTTAGGTCAAACTATTATAAGTTTGCTCAAGTTTATATATAGAGACAAGTCTAGACATTTACGCCTTTAAATTAGTATATAAAAATATATCGCATAATGTATCTAAGATAGTCACTTGATATCATAAATAATATCGTTCTCTATAAGTTCGATCAAATTTTATGATAATTTGACTTAGGACAATTCAAAGTAAATACATGTATTTAGGATGGATGCAGTATATAATTGGTTGACGGTTGAAATAGTGCACTACAATGGAAATGCACTCACTTCAATTTTCAAAGAATGATTTTTCTAACAGTCTCAATGCCCAAAAAACATTAAAGTTTGCTTTAAACTCTTTATTTAGATTCTTTTTTAGCCTAGTTATTCCTTGTGTCATCTCCAGTAATAGGTATGTCATCCAGACAGAGCGCAATAATGGCAACATACATGACGCTCCAGTAATGAGTATGTCATCCGGACAAAAACGCACTAATGGCAACATGATTTCTACAGTGACCATAAAACATACTCCCTCCATTCTTTTTGTTTTATAAGAGACAACTTGACATAGCGCGTTCTTCTAAATTGCACTTTGATCGTCTATTTATTTTATTTTATATTATTTATACTTGTATAAATAAAGTTACGATTGTCACTTTTCCAAATCGTGATGTTGGTTTCGTCTAGGCTGAGTATGGGCTGGCATTGCGAAGTGTCTATTCATTCTCATTGCTAGTGGGAGCCCAATCGAATGGCCCATTTTAGGAGTCTCGACAGCTTCGCAATTTCCGCCTCAATCTCTGGGACATTGGCCCACCTCCAGTGGTGGTGCGGTGCAGCCAATTCAAGAGAAGGACGGGGCGTGGTAACAGGACCCCGGTCCAACCATACCTCTAGTCCGCGGTCACGCGTAGGCTAACCAAACCAACCCAGCGGTTGGGTTGCAGTCGCAAACGCAAGCGCAAGCGCAAGCGGTCGAGCTCGAGCCCAATCCAGCGGAAACCCCCAACCCTAGCTCCCGACTCGAGCCGATCGACCCCCGATCCGATCTAATGTTCCCCACCGTCGACGACCCCTCCGCCGCCGGCGCCATGGTCTCCTCCTCCTTCCCTGACGCCGACGCGTACGGCAACGGCGACTCCGACGACCTCGACTTCCCCGTCGACCCAAATCCCAACCCGGTCTTCTCCTCCTCCCCCGTCGCCCCCGCCGCGGCCCCCGCGACCGGGAGCGGGGCCGGGGGGCGGCGCCCGCTGTTCCAGCGCCTGTGGACGGACGAGGACGAGATCGTCATCCTGCGCGCCTTCGCCGAGTTCACGGCGCAGCGGGGCACCTCCTTCGCGTCGCACCAGCACGACACCACCCCCTTCTACGAGGACATGCGCCGCCGCCTCAACACCGGCTTCACCAAGAACCAGCTCGTCGAGAAGATCCGCCGCCTCAAGCGCAAGTACCGCAACTGCGTCGAGCGCCTCCGCGTCGCTGGCGCCGGCTTCACCTTCCGCTCCCCGCACGAGCAGGCCATCTTCGAGATCGCCCGCACCATCTGGAGCCCCGCCTCCGACAAGCACGGCCGCGACTCCGACGACGAGGGAGGCGGCGGCGGCGGCAACGCCCACGCCCACGACGCCGCCTTCGCCATGCCCCCCTTCGGGATCGACGCCGCCGCCGCCAACGGGGAGTCCGCCAAGTCCCCGACCTCGAGGCCACGCCGTGGCCGCCGCCGCCGCACGGGCGACTTCCCCGCCGACGCGGTCGCAGAGACGCTCGCGCTGCCGCCGGCGCCCATGCAGATGCCGGTGATGACCGAGGACGCGCTCCCCTCGTTCCCGCAGGTGACTGCGGCGGCGGTCATGGACGGTGGCTGCGGCCTCAGCGTGGACCCGGCCTCTGGGCTGCCGGGCGCGCTGTCAGCGGCTGCGGCGGCAACGGCCGTATCCGGCAGCAGCACCGCGGAGAACCCCATCCTGGCGGCGATGTTCAAGGAGATGGTACGCGCGACGCTGAGCGTCGGCGGCGGCGGCGGCACTGCGCTTCTGGGGCTGGAGCCGCCGCCCCCTATCGCAGGGGTGCCGATGGAAGGGGAGAAGTGGCGGCAGCAGCGGATCCGGGAGCTGGAGGTGTACCTGCGTCGGATCGACCTGCTGCAGGACCAGGCGAGGGCGGCTCTGGAGGAACTCAGGTCCGCGCCGCACGCCGGGGGCATGAACACTTGATCATCTTGGGTTGAGCAGCTCCAGCGTCGGTCTTCTTGCAGATAGAGCATCGTCCATAACCAACCATAAGAAAGGATCATTTTACTGGTAGATTTATCTAGGCTCGAGCAGCAGTAGAACAAGGGGTTTTCGTCTGTAATTCTGATTTTCTGTCTGCACTGCAGACTAGCCGCGTCGTCTTTCTTATTTATATATATAATAACTTATATAAAGATTGTCCTACCGTGCCTATCTGAGCTCATACAGAGGTCCTGTGCGTTTATAATTTGTATTTTCAGCTTATTTTTTTATCTTGATAATGTTTTTTTCTCATAACAAATTATGTCGGAATAATATTTTAACTCGTTTTTTTAACGAAGCCAACGGGGCAGAATGTATGAGCTCAGCTGCTAATGTCAGTTTTTCACAGCACATGGAACATCATCGCACCGCTGGCATAGTACGAGGAATCTATAGGAGTGCATCAAAGAATTTCGCCTCGCATCACTCTGGAAAAAGTGCCGCTGAGGTATTGTACTTGGCAAACAGTTGTAACAGTCACATGACAGTATCTGAAGACGGACGAGAAGACGAAGCCATATTTGGGTCATGGCTCCACTTCAGAACTCTAGCAAAAATTTCAGCAAAACACCACAGCTTCAAAACTCATGGGAGCTGCTAACTCTAGTGCAAATGGGAGTGGAGTTTTGAAGTACCTCTTTTGCAACTCCAGAACCACTTTTTTTGAACCTCCTCGTGGAGTTGGTGGGTAATTACCCACCAATGCCACTGGTTATAAAAAAACGGTTCGTTCTTTTCCTCCGAGACTCCCCCGCGCCTGTTTTTCTACGTCCTGCGCCTGTTTCCTCCAACGCCGACTACTCGCTTCTTCTCCCGAGCACGGGCGCCGCCACCCACACCGGTGGCCGCCGTCCACCCACGCCGCCGGACGCCGGAGCCCCTCCCGGCCGCCCTAGCCCCTCCCGGCCGCCGTCAATCCGAGCCTCGCCATCGTCAATCCGAGCGCGAGCGAGCAGTGCGTGCCGACGAAGCCGGCCGCGCCCATCACCAGCGCCGGCATCCCCGCCCCGGCCGTAGACCCCGACGGCCTCCTCGGCGCGGGGGACGCGCAGATCTGCCGCTCCCAGTGGAGGCCACCCCAGGAAGCGCCCGTCACCAGCATCGGCATCCCCCGCCGGCCGCAGAACAAGGTATTTTTTTCAGTTTTGATTCAAAAATTGATTCACAGTATGATTAGAGGCTGGATTTGTGGGAGTGAACTGTGTGCTATGCTGCAATCCTAGATTCACAGTAGATATTTTGCAATCCAAATTTTGTTGTCTGTACTACAAATATGGACAATACCATTTCAGTGAAGTAGATTAATGGTGTCGGGGACCAAATACCAGTGTACCCTAAGAGAAAGAGCTAATAACCGTCAAAATGTTGATGCTTCCGAACAGACAAGAACGCGACTACACCTCTAGCCCAACGACCGAGGGTTAACTCTGTCTCATCCGACCCCTGAAGGTTGGCTCCACCTCGCCCGACCCCGGAGGGCTGGCTTCGCTTCGTCTGACCCCTGAGGGCTGGCTCCGCCTCGCCCAACGTCTGAGGGCAGACTCCGCCTCTTCCGACGTCCGGGGGCTGGCTCTGCCTCACCCGACGTCTAGGGGCAGACTCCGCCTCGCCCGACATCCGGGGGCTGGCTCTGCCTCGCCCGACGTCTAAGGGCAGACTCCGCCTCGCTCGACGTCCGGGGGTTGGCTCCGCCTCGCCCGACGTCCGGAGGCTGGCTCCGCCTCGCCCGACGTCCGGGGGCAGACTTCGCCTCTTCCGACGTCCGGAGGATGGCTCCAACTCACCCGACGTCCGAGGGCTGGCTCCACCTCGCCCGACGTCCGGGGACTGGCTCCGCCTCACCCGACGTCCAGGGGTTGGCTCCGCCTCGCCCGACGTCCGAGGGCTGGCTCCGCCTCGCCCGACGTCTGAGGGCAGACTCTGCCTCGCCCGACGTCCGGAGGATGGCTCCGACTCGCTCGATGTCCGGGGGCTGGCTCCGCCTCGCCCGACGTCTGAGGGCTGGGAGGATGGTTCCGCCTCGCCCGACGTCCGGGGGCTGGCTTCGCCTCACCCGACGTCCGAGGGCTGGCTCCACCTCACCCGACGTCTGTGCGTTGCTCCGTCATAACTGCGCGTGCAGATAAGACGGGGCACTCAAGTCAACCGCAATACCGAGGACCATACACTGCACACCTGCAGAAAAGTACCGTCAGGATATGACAAGACGGGCGCTTTAAGCCCTTCTAGGCATGTCAGAGCCTGAACAGTGTTGTAGGCGCCGACATTTGTCTTACATTATTATGGGCGTTGGCATTTGCCCTCGGGCACGAATCCTGACGGAAGCATACGACAACCACTATGGTCCAGGAGGAAACTCACGTTATCTACAGTAACGGACGTGGGGTCGCTGCGCCGTCTGCCCCCTGTAGGGTCGTGTTTCGGCACCCTGGTCCATCGCGCCGCCCGCCGGGGCGGGATGAGACATGACCACTTGCTGAACAAAGCTAGAGCACGGCCCTATCAAGATCAGCGGACATGCTATCCCTGGCACCGTCTGCCGTGTCAGCGGGACTCGCTCAGAGGAAAAGAAAGACCCAGCATCTTTGAGGACCTCCTTGGCCTCTAGTTTTTCTTCTTTCTCCCATTTGTAATCCCTGCTTCCCCTTGGTCTATAAAAGGAGAGGCAGGATACCCCATTAGGGGGACGGATCGATTCAACACTCCACACATCGCATAACATACAGCTAAGCAGCAACCAAGCTCTTAGCGTCCTTTCAACCTTTCCATCAGAGACTTGGGACCTGTCTCTCTCTCGCCCGTTTGTAACCCCTACTACAAACCTTTCAGTGCTAATAACACGAGCAACAGCCGTAAACTGAACGTAGGGACATTTTGCCCGAACCAGTATAAACCTTGTGTCTTTTAGCACACCATCCAGGCCGAACGCGCAATAATATAAATTTACTAGTTGGTGTTTACTCGAAACACCGACAAATGACTTCTAATATGAAATTTGTGAGTTGGATAGATGCCTGAAATTGATTGGAACTCGGAGAACACTCGTGCGCTCTGTATGTTGTTTGTCGAACAAGTTGGAAAAGGAAATCAGCCAAACACACACTTGAATGCACTTGGTTATGTTGAGGTTGAGAAAGGGTTCAAAGATAAGACTGGAATTGTGGCTACCAAGAGTCAGATCACGAACAAATGGGATAAGTTGATGGAAGATTTCAAGGCATGGAAGAAACTAATTGTCGGGTACCTTAGAACGGGGTACCCCAAGCAAACATCAAAACAAAGCTAGAAGGTAAGCCATAGGCCCCTCACCTGCCACGACCGAGCCCTCCTCCACCTCGCCTCGAGCCTCGAGCAGGAGGTCTCGGAACGAACTCCGCCTCGCGCGAGGCTCCCCAAGGTAGGCCTCGGCAGGGGGCGCCGAGCCTCGGCAGGGGACGCCATCTCCGTCTCGCCCGAGGCTATCCAGGGAAGGCCTCGGCAGAGGCCTCATTCTCCGTATCGCGCGAGGCCTCATTCTCCGTGTCGCTCGAGGCCGGCTCGTCCATGGTCTGTCGCCCCCTGTCTCGGCCGACCCTCCCAACAACTCGTCATGTCTCATTAATGCTTCAACCACTCCCGCAATCTCAGCCGGACGGTGGCTCAACGCCACAGGATGGCCGATGCGACCCGAGGTCGCATCAGCGCCATACCGGCCGGGACAGGCCACTGTGTCCTACCACTGTGTCCTACCACTGTGTCCACGACCAGCACCATACCGACTGGGAAAGGGTACGACGGGGATTACCGACCACTGTGTCCAAACGTTGTACCCATGATCGACCGCCCGCTCAAGGCCTCGGCACTGTACACCGAGGCCTCGGCGATCTTGGGGTTCGCGCCTATCGAGACCCCCCACTGCAGTGCCAGCCTCGGCATCGACCAAGCCTCAGCATCACGCACAGTCCGTCCACAGTGGCTTGCACGTTCGCCGCCGCATCCACTCCGAGGCATTCCCGGGGCTCCCACGACGCACAGGACCTGATGGGATGACCACGCCGCCCCAGTACTCCAAGGATGGACCACTCCGACGGCCACGCCGCCACAGGAACAGGCTACAGGGCCCGGACACGCTGCCTCTGTTCACACGACGCCGTATAGTCAGCTCATGTACCGCCCAAGTCCTCCCTTCATGCTATAAAAGGAGAGGACCTGGGTTGTTTTAGGGGAGACGGGAGACACCTTGTAACACGCACGCACACTCCTGCCGCTAGAGAGCAACGTCTCAAGCGGCCCGCACGGCACCCTACCGAGACCTAGGACCAGCTCCTTCTCTCCTTTAGCTTGTAACCCCCTACTACGAGCACCTCGGTGCAAGGAATACAAGATCGATCTCTCAGACTGGAAGTAGGGCCTCGATTGCCTGAACTAGTATAAACCTTGTGTCTCTTTGCATCACCATCCGGATCGGGAGCACGCAGAACAAATTCACTAGTTGGTTGAGGACCCCCTGGTCCGAAACACCGACAGTTGGCGCGCCAGGTAGGGGCGCTGCGTGTCGGTTTCGTCATCCCAGCATGTTCCGGATGGCAGACCACGTACGACCATTGCGTCTCGGCACCGTGGTTTGGTTCGGGAGCCTAGAGTTCATGTCTCTAGGGCATGAGTACAACTTGGTGCTCCTCCCTCCTCGAGCCCCACCAACCAACGATGAAGTTACGCCCCGGCAGCCCAGACGCGGGCGGCGTCCGGGCGGCCATTCTCGCCGCACTCGCCAAGCACGGCACGAACAAGGCCACCCCGACGCTACACGAATCCGGGGCAACACGCCACCCCCCGCCGATATCCTACGACCAGCTGTTGGCACAGGGTCCCTGGCTGGGGACCTGTCTAGCCTGAGCTTGGACAAAGGAAACTTGCCTGTGGCACGCGGCGATGCCTAGTCGTCAAGCTCCGCTCCACCACTCCCTGAAGAGCCGATTCCGGCGGGGCAGAATCTGGAGACGGCACCGTCCCCATACCCTTTTGGGTTGAGAAATGCCGCCGCCTCATACGCCTACGCTTACTCTGTCGCTCACGAGCACCCCTCGGAACGCCGCCAGCGCTTCGCTCTCGACCTGAGCACCCACTCCGACTTCTCGGACGAGGACGAGGCATGGCCCGGGGTGGATTTTTCCGGACTCCACAACCCTGGGGCTTTGCGCCAGTTCTTGGCTGCGAGCGACTACTGCTTCGGCTACTCCGACTCCGACGACGAAGGCACCTACGACCCCACTCGCGAATGTTTTCATGTCGGGGTCGGGATGCCGAGAGCGGGCGAAGAGGACGAGGGGGCAGGTAGCCGTTCCCCGCTCCGCCCCGGCGCGGGCGTCGCTACACCTCCACGCGCCGTCCTGCCGGCCACACGAAATGAGAACGTCGCTCTTGAGCGACCTCAGCGCCCAGACCTAGAACAGCTCCGCGAGCTCCAGGCCAAGGTCGAGCAAGACCAACTCCTTCTGCAGCAGCTTCGAGACTCTCTCGAATAGGAACAGCGAGGTCGCGGTGAAGGCGGGGGAGCCCGACGGAGGGCCCTCGATGTGCATCACCGCATCCATAACGACGAAGGGAGCGAGCAACCCCCGATCTTCAATCGCGCTAGCCAGAACGTCGCGGCTGCGGCGATGTTGGTTCGCGCAATGCCCGAGCCTTCTACCGCGGAGGGGCGGCGAGTCCGCGGCGAACTCCGAGACCTCCTAGAGACCGCCGCGGTTCAGCAAGCCGAGAGTTCTGCCTCCCGACGGCACTGGGGCGTCTCGAACCTACCCGCGGCATCACCTCGACAGGACAGGGAAGCTTCGGCTCGTCCCAAACCTGCTCGAGCACCGATAGCTCACAGGGTCCCCATGCTCCTTGACCGCCTCGACAATCGACACGAGGGGCAGGGAGACCACGAGGTAGTCGGCCGACGACGACGCCACGACGGTGAGGGGCCCACCCGAGGCTACCATGTGCACCGAGGTAGCCGCTACGACAGCGAGGAAGACCGTAGCCCTTCTCCTGAGCCACCTGGCCCTTGAGTCTTCAGCAGAGCTATCCGTGTCGCCTAGTTCTCAGCCCGTTCTTGGCAACCAGCCAACCTCGCGA